AAGAAAAGTGCTGAGAAAAATTACACAATAATCTAAAATGAGTAAGCCGCAGGCTTTTCAAATTGGCAACAGTGGTCACTGACCAAACTATGACAGATGAAGCCACACCAGCTTTAATCATTTCTGCAGGAGCAGAAAGCAGAAAGAATTTGGTTGCACCTTATTTGTTTTCAGTGGCTTAAGCTGTCAGGTTGAACCAATTCTCGAAACTGGTGCATTTCTATTATGTTTATAGCAAGACTGAAGATACGGTCCATGACACGTATCATTCAGCCAGAAACCATGATTTGCAAGCTACAATAACTAGGTTCAAACAACAAACGTAGCCAAAAGCAAACAAGTTACAGGATGAGAAAGTGTCTCCCAGTTGCAAGACCAGGAAAAGAATGGCCAAATTTCCATTAACTAAAAAAAGCTAGAGGAAAGGCCTAGAATTTAAATGCTGGAACAGATCATAGATGTAAAAAGCTTGGTTCCTGTGTCCTACAGAAAGCAGATCTTTTGCTTATATATAATTTTAATTCTATCTGCCATAAAGCAGCTGGTTGCAACAATCAGCTTCTGCTGTATGCGAGTTTGTAAATATGATTTTATGACTCTGGAGAGCTATATACGATAGTTGTGCCTGGCATGAAGTTTGACAGCAATATTCACTTTCTTCTACACACACACACACATATACACAAATTGGAACATTTTGAACATTTTGACAGACACACAGTGTCTTATTAATGTGAGAGAGCAGGATGTCTGAAAATTGGCTAACACCTGGGCTGAGAGTGCCCTGCTCCTTTAACACCTCCCCAGCCCTGCTGCCAGCAACAAGCAGCTATAAAAGCTGAGGAGAAGAGCAGCTGGGTGGGGGGGTATTGTGGTTGGAGTTGTTCTGAGATGGAGATTGTTACTTTGTGGAAACAAAGCCACTGGAAGCAGCCTTGGGCTAACATATAGAAATATTGTTTTTTTGCAAATTGTAGTAGTCTAGGACATTCATGGTAGTAGTAGTAGACCTGGAGAAGTGTAAGAAAAGGAACTGTGATTACTGCCCAATGTCTGCTTGTGTAAGAGGAGGTCTAAAGGTCAAGGGGGCTTGTGTTGGTCCTCTGGGGTTTTGAGATCCCACTGACTTTGGATTTAGATGAAGAACCTCTGATAATGAGTGCACTTTTTTCTTGTTTTAACTTTTGTACCTCTCACATTCTTGCAAACAAAACAAGTGTGTTTCTAATTTATCACGCAAGAATCCTTTGTATTTATTTATTTTATTTTATTTATATACCACCCTACTCCCGGAGGACTCAGGGCGGTGAACAGCCACAAGATAAAAGTACATCATACAAAAGTTAAAAACCATTTAAAAGTATATTAAATAATTTTGGCCCAAAAAACGAATTGGAAAACACCCAATTTGTATAAAAGCAAATTAAAAGGGAGAGTCAAGCCAGACCAGCCTGCTGGAATAAAAATGTTTTGAGGGCGCGGCGGAACGTGTGTAAATCTGGGATCCTCCGTATCTCCGGGGGGAGCTCATTCCAGATGGCAGGTGCCCCCACAGAGAAGGGTCTCCCCCTGGGGGCGGCCAGTCAACACTGTTTGGCTGACGGCACCCTGAGGAGCCCCTCTCTATGGGAGCGTATTGGTCAGTGAGAGGCTACTGGTGGCAGAAGGCGGTCTCGTAAGTACCCTGGTCCTAAGCCATGGATCACTCTAAAGGTGGTGACCAAAACCTTGAAGCGCACCCGGAAGATCACCGGGAGCCAGTGCAGCTTGCGCAGGAGGGGAGTCACATGGGAGCGCCATGTCGCTCCCATAATCACCCGGGTGGCTGCATTCTGGACCAGCTGGAGCCTCCGGGTGCTCCTCAAGGGGAGCCCCATGTAGAGAGCATTACAGTAGTCCAGGCATGAGGTGACGAGGGCATGAGTGACCGTACGTAACGAGTCCTGATCCAGAAAGGGACGCAACTGGCGAATCAGGCGGACCTGATAAAAAGTCCTCCCGGCCACAGCTGTCAAATGCTCATGTGAGCCTTCTCTGCCACTCAGAAAACATTGAGCCTCCCCTCCAGTAGTGGGTTCTACTTATCTTTGCTACCGGTTTGGAACTGTGAACGCGCGGGGCACTTCTGCACATGCGCAGAACCTTTTGCACATGCACAAAGTGTCCATGATGACGTCCGGGTGGGTGGGCGGAGCCTCCCGCCGCCACCACTACCAGGTTGCCCAAACCAGTAGAAACCCACCACTGCTCCCCTCCAATATCTGCCCTGACCTTTGAGATACTTGGGATTGGAAAAGTGATTCCCTTCCTTACCTGTTTAAATCTGTATTCAGAAGAGCTCATTTTGCAGCAAATGCCAAAACCATCTTTGTTATTCCAAACCTTCGACTAACAAATTGGCTGAACTGTTGTATCTGGCCCTGTCTCTTCAGAAGAGAGATACAGCTGCCTTGGATTTTACTAGCCTACCAAATATTAAAGACCCCAATTAAAAGTGAGCTTTGTTCCAAGATGAATTATGTCATTCCTACTATGGTCTTCCCTCTATTCCTGAAATAGCTTGTTTAGTCATCCTGAAATTATGATTTGCTCTTATTTCAGAAATCACATTATTTCTGATGGAGATATACAGTTCGTGGCCCATTTTTGGAAAGTTCTATTTCAGCATTGTCCATTGTTCACAATTAGATGAAGAAACGGGACAGATGCCAAGTTAGTGTAATAATTTTCTTATGTAAACTATTAGCAACATAATTCACCTGATCTTTTATTATGGCTAAATTTGCTTATAATAACTCAGTTCATGCCTCTACTGAGATGTTGATGGGATTTACAGTTTCAAGCCATGCCTGTTAAATGCTTCCCAGCCTCCCTCTCTTTCCACAGGCTTCCTGTTTATTCCAGGAACTGCAAAGTATTCCTCTCCTCCTCTAGGACCAACTGGATCACGTCGAGCATTCCTATAGGTACTCTGCTGCCATCAATATAAAGTCCCTCTCATTGTTGGTGGAAGCCACATTTGACTTTCTATCAGATTTCTCTCCTCTAAATGCCATCTAAAATACCTAGTTTATTGAATAATTCCCAAAAAGTACATAATTCAATCCAGTGACTTTGTATCTGATTCCAACCACCTTGAAAATATATCCAATGTCCTGCCATTTTATTCTGATTTATTCTGTATATGCTCCTACACATTTCTATCTTGGAATGGTGAGAAGAAAGAATTTGATGTGAATCTTCTCTTGAAATCTGCATGGGATAATCAAATCCTTGGAAGGGCTACCTGGAAATTGAATATTCTGGGGAAACATGAGAAAGTATATACCCCTCAGCTCCTTTGAAGTTTTATTTGCATTATATTTAAAAACCCAGGCTGCCTGCCTGGCTGCACATTCAAGCTTTAGTATCTGCCAGCAATTCTGACTCAGAGTGAGGTCTTCTGCTGGAAGAGGAAGGAGATACTTGAATTGAGAGACATTCAGACAGACAGACAAACATATCTTCACAGAAAACCGAGTAGGTATTCTGAAATGAACATGTTCCCAACTAAAAGAGTTGGACATTTGCTCTTTATTGCTATCTAGTGTCTGAAGCAGTAAGATGGAAAGACATAAAACGAGAGAGATCTATCCAGATTTTTCTGTGAGGAAAAAAAACAACCCTTCCCTTGTGAGATAATTGGGCAAGAGGAGGAAGGATATAACAAACTGAAGAGGGCTTTTTGCATCTGCTCCAACCCGCAAAGAATTAGAAATTGAAGGAAGCATATGACTCCTTTAAGTCACCCCTAACCTGAGGGAGGAAAGGAGATTACACTTCCAGTATGCTCTTACAATTTTAAAATTAGGAACATTATGCTCAAATTTCTGTTGACTAAAAGAACAGGACTAAAACTTAAACCCTGGGACATGTATGTGTGTGTGTGTGTGTGCACACATATATGATATATAACTTTATTTCTGTGTTCCACTGTAGGCTGATTCGCTCATACATGGATCCCATCTTTTGGGAAATAAAGCATATTGTCTCTTTTGATTATTGTAAAAAAATTCTGAAGAATAGTTTATGGCTCTGGACAGTTAAGAGTTATTGCTTTGCCTGGTATGAAATCTTGACTCAGAACTAGAGAAAGTTGGCAATCTGTTCCAAATAGGAAGGCCAGTCCTACAGCTAAATGTGGTCAAATCACCTACTGAGTCAACGTATTATAATAATAGATTTAGTTTTGGCTCATTATAGATGATGTCAACTATCATGTTTAAACAAACAATGGCTTAGCATGGGACATAAAGGCAGACATTATCAGACCTGATAGTGCAATTCTTAGAATATAGTCACATGCATATTTCCTTGGATGCATCATAATAATTATTGTTAGGGCAAATGAGGCCATTGAATCTAAGTCATGGTTTAGCAAAGGAATTGAAATTAAGCTAAACATGTTCAATATCTTCTTTGTAAGACTTTTCAGTTTGCTGATCATCATTGTTATCCTTCCCATTTGTCCAAATCCATGTTCAAGTGTGGTGAGTAGAACTGGATTTAATACCTGAGGTAAAATCTGGCTATTGCAGAAAATAATTTGGCTATTATTTGTTGTGTTTTTGAAACTAAACTTCTGCTGATACAGCTAAAACTCCATCCCCCCCCCAACCAGTTATTTCATCCCAATGGTTCATATTCATTGAGATCATTTAAAAGTACTTACTTCCAAGAAAGTGAGGGTAGGATTTCCTTGTAAAAAATTCAAACCCACTTCTTTGCATGCTTGTAAATAAGGTTTAAAAGAGTAGCCTCTCTTTTATTTAATGTGAAAGACCACAAAACTGAAACAATAAAAAAATTATCTGTACCACTGCAGAATATATATGTGCTGGATGTTTTAAAAACTCCAAATAGAACAGAAGTGAGAATAGCAATGGGTGGCCTTGTAGTCTTGAATTTTGACATGTGTTCAGGTTTGAATTTCATGAAGAAGGCTAGCATGACCTCTACTTGAATCTATTGATTTTATTATGTTCAGAATAAAAGTCTTTACACTATTTGTTTCTAGACATGATATTATAGCATTAAAAAAAAAATCCAAACTGTATTTTATCTCAAGCTTTCTTGAATAATTTTGCTTTTGCCAAAATGAATTTAGCTGTACTGTGATGGTGTTTAATTCAAAAGCATTCGATCCCACAGGTATCCATGTGAACTTTGGCTAGCTAATAGCTGAAAGTGAATGAAATTACATTTTCCTGAAAACACAAATGTACTGAATGGTTTTCTTGGATAGAGATCATGTGTTGCATTAAATAATAACAAGCTTAGTGCAGTTTAGGTTGAAACTTACTCAACAAACCATGAGTGAACAAGCCAGTTCATAGTGTGATATGCTAGCTCAGATACGTAGACTAGAAGTTATGGTTAGACAGGCTGGGATAAATTGCCTCCAAGGAGCTACCCTCTGGTCTCATGTCACCCATAGTAACCTCTCAGTTACATTTCTGAAAGATGCTGTACACCAGCTTTCTCCAGCCACCTGTTGTCTAGCAGAACTTCCCACTGCAGATGGAATAGGCAATCGGTTTTCTTCAGCCCCAGTGATACCAGCTGCCAGTTCATAGAACAAAAAGAAAACATTTGATTTGATTTTAAGTATTTATTAAAAATTGTACCAATTATGAAAAAAAGAGTCCAAGTTGAATTTTAAATAGTCAGAAATAAGAAAAACAGAAAAATCCAGAAGTAAATATTCTGCAAAGGTAACAAAAAAAAAGGGGGGGGACTCTTCTGACTTGCCCCTGGTTGAGACAGAACAGTCTGAAGACACGTAACCATAGCTAGATAAAATGCTACATTCGCACTGGGTCTCGGTCCATGGAAAAGGAGGTCTGTGCACTTCAGGCCCATGATGGTAAAAAGATATAATAACAGAAACATCCTGCAAAATGGGAGAATATATAATATATACAATATGAATGAAATCTTTTTGAAAAAACACTTTTAAAAATGATGTGGCAATATTTGCCGCCTTCCCAGTATAATTGGCTATTGCCAAATTACTGTAATTCCTTATTTACAAAATTGAACATGTCAACAACACGTCTTAAATTCTTCTTTCTATACCACTCTTAAAAGAAATCTGCAGGATATAGTATATAATGTGTGATGGAAAGGCAGAAGAGTATAACAAATGTAGATTAATTATAAATTACTACATCAGAAGGAGAGATTCAAGACACCTTAAGACTGTAGAATGAAGCTTCTTTAGGATTCCATTTTGACAGTTTAAGAAAAATACATTTGACTTAATATTTATATTCAGTATTTTATTGACTTCAATAGACCAGAATATTGGTGGAAAAATGAACTCCTGCTACATTGGGATTACAGCTTTCCCGACTCCCATCTGGAAGTGTCCAATTAAAGAACACTCATTTAAACAATGGTCCTCACTGTGATTTCTGGATTATTTTGTCAACTTTGAGGAGCCACTGTCCTCTGATAAGGAAAATGCTCATGTGCAGAAAGCACAAGGTTCAAATACCTGGTATGCTCAGTTCAAAAGATCTAGCAAAATGATGGGAAAGACTTCACTGTGCCCAGGATCTTAGGGAATAGCTGCTAGTAAAAACATCAACAAAACAAAAACAAATCCCAGTTCTCCATTGTTGGTTTGGACACCCAACCTTGTATCATGTTTCTTACATATTGTTACAAACGGTTCTCACTTATATAGTGAAAAGGCACAATAGATCTACAAAGTTAAGAATGAAGTGACAGTGAGTCTCGGGATTAAAAAAAAAAGTTTACAAATAAAATCTAGATACCAGAAAGACAAGGAAGAATGTGGTTTAGAATTAGGATATAATAGGCTTGATAAAGTCCTGATGGGAACGGGTAAAAAGATTTTGGTTAAATTATATAACTACCTATTAGATGAGGACAGAGCTGAGGATATAACTAAAAACCAAATGAGTGTATGGGAGAAAAATATTTGACACAGCATAAATTTTAATGAATGGGAAGAGGCATGGAATAAAAACTATAAATTGACCAGAGCCGCGACGTATAAGGAAAATCATTACAAAATGCTCCACAGGTGGTATTTAGCCCCTGCTAGGCTAGCAAAGATGTATCCCAACATATACCCAAACTGCTGGAAATGTGGCTATGGTCAGGGCACCTTCTTTCACATGTGGTGGACATGCCCTGAAGCGAAAAGATATTGGAGTAAGATTTGGGGATGGTTACAAGAAATAATTGGAGAAGATATTGAATTGACACCAGAAATATTTCTCCTGGGAATAGTAAAGAGACCTATGGAAAGAAAAAGAATCACCTAATAATACATATAATCACAGCTGCTAGACTGGCCTACGCACAATATTGGAAAGAGAAAGCTCTGCCACCAGAAGAACTTATAATTAGGAAACTACTGGAGTGCGCAGAGATGAGTAAACTAACCCATGAAATAAATGATGATGAGAATTCAGATTATTATACCATGTGGGGAAGGTGGTATGAATGGATGAATGATAAAATGAAAGAAAGAGAAAAAGGTGTGTTAAATAAAAGGAAAAAGTAGCTTAAGTGACACCAGGTATATATCTTCTATATATGTATAAACACTGCGCATCCGATGTTAATAGAAATGTTATTTTATGTATGTGTATAAACTCAATAAAATATTTGAAAAAAAAATAATAAAAAAAGTTGATCATTATTTAAATAACCAAAACTGTGTGAAATAAAGAAAAAACTAACTTGGTTTGGTATGCTGTATCCAGTAAGTACAAAAGGAAAAGACGATCCTTTATTTCTAATAGTCACAAAATGGGTACAATTTTTCAACAGGTCCATTTTTTTCAAGCCCATAACAACGGGGTCCTGCTCTCTGATAGTTACTGAAGGCACAGAAATTCCATCTTTACACAAAACATGCTTCCTTAATTCCTATGACTCCTATAATGATGAAATAGGCAATAATTCTTAACAAAAAAAGCACTTTGAACAAAAAGAGTTATATAAATATTTATAAAACAATATAAACAATTGCCTTACAGGTCGGATAGGCCCATAGCACTGAAAGGGTACCAATGCATCTGGGGAATTACTAGATGGCAGCAAAGAGTTACAGAAAACTCTAACTCCTTCCTGTCGGGCCCAGTATACCAATCATAATCAATATTTTTTTAAATAAACATCCTTACCAAAAAAATTTTTTTACAAACATTGTACACACGGTGATTTTCTTAACAGTATTTAAAAATAGTAATGATCCAATATTCCTTTCCTACTCTTAAACTCATCCTGTATTCTCATTACTCAAAGGTTGAAAATAATCTGAAGGCCTCTAGAAACACACCCCAAAATTTTTTCTATGTCCCCATTACTCCTGGAGGTACAAGCTTCCTACCAGATAGCATAAGTTGCAATGGAAGCTCATAGAAATAAATCAACAGGACAAAAGGGTAATTACAGTTATTCAGTTGATTTCAATGGAGTTCATTTAAACATTATAAAGTCTCCCTCGCTCCCAAAGTCACATGGCTTTCTATTTGCAGAAATCATCTTCCAAAGTAAATTTCTGAAAAGTTCCTATTTATTTTGCAAATTCATGAAGGGAGGAGGGGGGGGGTAACATGGTGGCACATGAGCGCTCATTAATCCAGTTTCACAGTCAGTGAGTTGCAATAACCCAACCAATAAATCTGTCTGGGTTGCCAATGCTTCACCCAACCTCTGTAGCTGTGTCTTTAAGGCAACTCAATTTGAATACATGAGCAGGGATAGTTTTTATGGCAACTTGCCAATTTTTTTCAATCACTGTTAACAGAATACAGCAAAGGCAGTTAAATACTGGTGATCCTATTTGAGGCAACGGGAAAGAGGAACTTACAGCCCACATTTTATTTATAGACATACACAATTATATCCCAATGCACGTGACATATTTGGCCTTTTTTTCTCCTATTGCTGATGAGTAAGAACCAGAAATTTGTAGGAGTTCAGTACTGTTTCAGAAACTTAAAAAATGGTACTGTCATTGTGAAACCCAAAGTAACATTAAGTCATTATTATTATTGTGTGTGTGTGTGTGTGTGTGTGTGTGTGTGTGTGTGTAGGAAATATAAAATTTAATAACTAGAATGACACTGGTTAACAAGAGCTGCCAGAATACCTGAAAAAAAAATCCTCATATCTTGAAAAGCAGATGAAGCTTCTCAGACCATGAAGATAAACAGTGGCTTGTATCCAAATTTAGTCATTAAAAAAAAAAAAGAATTGCTAAAATACAGGCCTCTTTCCCAGGTTCCATCACAATTAATAGCTCTACTCTAAGGAGGGCCAAGTTGGGATCCAACCCACTGTTGCCTGTGAAAGTCTGCAAAACAAAAGTAGCACTTAAAAATCAGTTATAGTTGTAAAGGTTGGCAAATGTTTCTCCTTTCAGGGTATGAAATAGCTGAAAAGTAAGACAGTCTGACTCTTAGATGGAAAATGGACATTTGAATATGTAAAGGACATGTCTGTATTTTTAAGATATAGATCTCAAGCTTCATTTGTTGTTTTAAACTATTAACATATTAAGATGACATGTAATATGATTCTACATAGGCTTACTCAGAAGCAAGACCTTTTACAGCAAAATGGAATTACTTTCAAGTGTACATAGAGTTGAACTTTTGGTTTATTAACTTCATATTTTACCCTCCACTGAAAAATACATTTCTTAATAAATCTCCAACTAATAGTTAAGCATTATATGGTTGTCATTAGAACCAATTATCCCTTTTCCTATTTTACATTAGGTGGTGAAATATGCCACTGATTGATAGGTTGCACCTGAAGTTCTGTTTTTACATGCTGCTGGCTCCAATGTGAAACTAACCCCAATAGAACTGAACACATATTGCCAGATGTTTAAAATATGATATAATGTAATGAACCACAAGACCATCTGCTTTCAGTACACAAAACCAAGCAGGATAGGAGTAAAATAACACATAAACGTAAGCAACCTCACATTTTGTCATAAGCACGCTTATCCAGGGTATTAAAACTCGTGTCTTGAAACAAGGCTTAGAAAATTAGGCTCTCCAGATGTCACAGGACCATGCTCCCAACATTCCTCAGCATTGGTCATGTTAGAAACAGCTGTTCAGCAACATTTGGAAGGCCTCAAGCTACCCATATCTTAAAAGATATGTACTGATTGCGAGATTGTAAATTTAGTGATCTGCCCTGTAAATTCCCACCATATCAGGAGAGAAGGTAGCCACAGAAAACTGGTTCAAATACTTCTCCTATCTGAAATGAAAAGAAAGATGCTGCCTTCATCCCAATTACAGAAAAGTATCTGGAAATGAAACATTAGTTTTATATTAAGGATTGGACAACCATCTCCTCATTTGCAGGATATTTCAGGAGCATAACATGAAGCTTATTTTTGTTCCCTATCCATGAACTCCAGCTTCCAAAGGGTACTTCCTTGAACCTTGTTTGTTTTTGGTCTCCAGCTCCAGATGTACTATATATAAAAGACCTATTTGCCTACATTCAGGGAGGCGCAGTTGAACAACGCTATCGCTCACTCGTCTATTGGGCAGATTAACAAATACTAGCAAGGATATTGAAGTCCTACTCCAGCGGTCCCATGTCAGATCTCTGGGATATTGAAAGGGGGATATCTGTCTGAAGGTGTGGCAGTGCTGCTGATAAGCATTGTAGACCAAGTTCAGCTAATTTTTTTGTGACCGGGGTCTACTTTTTTTAAAAAAAGAAAGAACCCCCCTCTACAAGGATCTCAGGGCTTGGTGACGACGACATGCATTATAGTTTTCAAGGGCTTTCTTTCAGGTGTTATTTTTCCAAAAATAAAAAGTAGGGGGAAATGCCCTTGATTTCCGGCATTTACCTCCAAATTTTGGCAACATAATTGGGAGAGGATACTGCGGGGAAGGGAACAAGGTGGGACACAGTGGTTCAGTGGCTGAGACACTGAGCTTGTCGATCAGGAGGTCATCAGTTCAGCGGTTTGAATACCTAGCGGTTTGAATCCCTAGTGCCACATAACAGGGTGAGCTCCCGTTACTTATCCCAGCTTCTGGTAGTTCGAAAGCACGTAAAAAATGCAAGTAGAAAAATGGTGGAGGGAAGGTAACAGCGCTTGGTGCGCCTTTGGTGTTAAATCATGCTGGCCACATGACCATGGAGACGTCTTTGGACAGTGCTGGCTCTTCAGCTTAAAAACTGAGAGGAGCACCACCCCTAGAGCCGGAAATGACTAGCACGCATGTGCGGGGGAACCTTTCCCTTACCTTTCCCTTATGGGGGAGGGGGGGAAATAGGGTTGGGTTGGTGTCTGTGCGGTTAGATTATTTGTTGTTCTTAATCAGTATAAAGGAACTTCCCATGTGCCACATTGCAGTTAGGCAATTTGAGAGGACAGCGCAGTTATAGCAACAATACTTGTGGTGTTTGTAATGACTCCTTTAATTTATCACAGCCAGTTAAATCTACTAATTGTTGTCCATTCTGTTTATAGCCCGTGGGTAATTTATATGAAGCACTGGAATAAATGCATGTCCCATGTCATGGCTCTCTCTGACTTTAGAAAAGCCTCTCCCATCTTTGCATTCTGCAAGACACATCTGATTCTACTTTTTATGTGATTAATGCCTTTCCCAGGCTTTTCTATAGGATGGGATTGTCAGTTTGTGGCCAATCTCCATTACAGCTTCAACTCCTGTTGTATATGTCCTTATTTTGTACCAAATAGTGATTGGAGTTAATTAATTCAAGCTCACTGTTACATGACAACAGTATCCCTGCATATCTGGGGTTTGGTCACAATGCCAGCAGACCACAATTTTAATTCCTCAAAGAACAAAATAAAACCCAAGACCAATGTGTTGAAAGCAAAGTCACAGATACGGTTTTCTATGGGAATGTTAGATCACCCTCTTTGGCTGATTATAACCAAAGCTTGCAAGTAGGTGAAGAGATTAGTAAAGTCTTCAAAAATGGAAATTCCAGCCTTTGGGAACACTGACAAGAACTTGCTGCCAACAGGCTGCTTAAGTTGGCAGAACAAGACAAGCAGATTTGGTACAATAGGAGAACACAATGCCATGGAATAAAGGAAAATCCACACAATTCAAAGAAAACAGCAGCTACATATATAGACACAGAAGTTGCACAACAAAAGCCCAACAGAGGACAATCAGCCAGTGTCCCCAAGGTCTTTATCCTCGGGGTCTTTATCTGAAGACCATTCCTCTATTCTCTTCCCACCTTGGCCTGGCTTTTTGGCAGCTGGAAGTCACCTCAGGCAGTACAGTTTGTTATGATTGCTGTCTCAGTTTCCAAGAACTGCAGCAAAAGCACTATTACTGGAGAGAATGCAGCCAAGGAAAGTTTGATTTAAAAAGGATTAACAAAGAACCAGCTGAATTGAGGAGAAAGAGATAGTAAAAAGAAAATTCCTTTCTTGGTGGAAGCTTTTGCTGTAAAATTGCTTTGCCTCATTTGCAACATTTTACTGAGGTAGTAGTGCTTCAGATAATGTTGCAGGTTATTTGGAAGTCTCCCATGGTCTTTTCTACCATGGTTAAGACTTTCTTTCAGTTGCTAAAGAGCCACTAAGGAGAAAAGGCAACTGTAAACTAGTGGCACAAAGCAACCTCCACCCCAAGCCAAGGACTCTTGCTTCCATTGAATGAAATGATCATGAGAAAAGAGCCCCCTCCCTCCCTAATTAGAGGTTCCCTAATTGATGAACTTTAGACATATGGAAGTGTTCTTTTAGAAAAACTTTAGATGTCCTAAACCAGCCCTGATTTTGTCTATCTATCCATTCAAAAATTAGAGTTCCAAAAACTTGGGACTCATAAGCAACATCAGTTTGTATTATTAATAAGATTCACAGAATTCATTGAGAAGCATCTCATTAAATCAGGGTGGTAGTCCAGTTAGAATACACAAGATAAGGACACCAAATGGTCACAAGAAGCCAAAGGAGGAAAGTAATGATTACATGCTAATTTTCTATTACTAGATATTAAGCAAGTTATTCTGGTTCTACACGATATGAAAAATCTAAAATTCAAATAGGCTTCCCAGGTCCTCATCCAGAAATAGAACACATTAATTATGTCTGGTGGGATGAAGCTAGTATGCCTTATAACCAGTTCAGCCCCATTACAGGTTCTGTTCTTGATTATACACTTAAATAGATACACATTTATTATTACTGTATAACGTTTTAGTATAAACAGACAGTAATCATTGATAATAGTGGAGAGGAGGGAACCAATGTTCAACAATAATAATTCTGATGTATTAGGTTAAAGACGACACAATGTAAAACTCTTAATGGTCCCAATTGGGATTTCTAGTCTTCACACAAAAAGAATTGTGTAGAAGGCAACATGCATGTGCTAACATGCTCTACTTCTCCATCCCATAGTTACTGCTTAGTCCACTGCAGAGAATAATACAATAAAGCTTTGTGCTTCAGATTTCTGCCCTGTGTCCAAACTAATGATGGGTAAATAGGTCATGTGTCAAACAAGGCAATCTAATGCATCTGCTCTCACGGCAGAAGGGCTAAAAACTCCTTATATTGATCAGGAGGAGGAGAAGCATCTAAAGAGGTCACCAAAAATGAAAGTGGCCCATTAAAAAAAAGTTCAAGGAAACAATCTTCCACCTTTATATGCCACGATGCAGTAACGGTCAGCAACATTATTTGTCTGAGTCAATTAAAGGAAGGTGTGGCATAGGAAGATATTGATATGGTTGGGATTGCAAACTTGATTCAGAAACTCTGATTCTTGGAGACACTTCATTTAAGTCACCCTTTCTCAATCTAGTGCCCTCTTGCTGGCTGAGAATCAGTGAACTAAATCTTCAGCACACCTAAATGACACCTGACTTGGGGGAACCTGTCCCAGGTGATCCATTTTCACATCTGCAAATTATAAGCTCTCAGGGAGATGGATTTGGCTTAGATAGATTCCTTTCAAGAGGAGGAAAATAGGAGTCTGGATCCAGCAGGACCTCTCTAAGCAGAGTTCTATTAGGGAGTTCTGGTTCACATCACATCACCTTCTTCACTGTCCTAGAGCCTCACAATTTTCCAGAAGAGATTTTTAGAGGAATCAGAAATCACCTATTCATTCTACCAGGAGGAATTCTCCATTAAACCAGAACCTACTATAGAAGAAATCTGTTCTTTTTGTAGAGATCAAAAGTTGGATTCAGTCCAGGATTCTAAGCAGCAAGTTTTCAACTCACTACAGAAATGCTGAAAAATAGCCTACAGTTCCATAATTAGGCCAGATGGAGCAAAGACTCTCTTAGCGAAGGCACAGTGGCAAAACTGGAAGGAAATCTAGCACAGAGACAAATGTCTGAGACTAAGTTGCTTGCTAAACTCTAAAATCCCTCTCCTGAAAATATGAAACTAAAAATGTAAAACTTTGGAATAAAAATTTGTCTGAACTAATTTGTTCCTTCACACTGAGAAATATTTAAACAATACGGATACTGTTAATTCATGTTGTTTTTATTTTCTTAAAATCAATATATAAAAAGGCCATAATGTTAGAGATGCTCTCATTTCAGCTATTTTGGGAAAAATTGCTAAACACACAATCACCCAACTCCATTCCTGTGTTAGTCCATTTTCTTAGTCCTCAAAATACAAAGAAGTACAAACTAACCAAATTGGCTAGATCTGCGCAACATGCTAAAGCCATGAGGGCGAAACCACAAATCCACTTAATATTAACCAAACTGTATGACGGCTGATTCTAAATCTTAAAAACACCTAGAGTAGGAATGCTGCCTCTTAAGATAGTGGGAAAGTATTGCTACGTAGTTCAGAATAGCAAATGTCTTCAGGAGAGCACTTTGGAAGGTACAGTATGTCGCTTGCAAAAATATAGCCAAATCTTTGCATAACCAGCCTTCTAATTAATCTTGTGTCTCACCTGCCCTAAGACTGAAAAGTCCAGAAGCTTGAAACCAGAGTGCAAAGCCCCTTTCAAAATCTTCTGGATTGATGTCCCTCTACCTATGGCCAGGCAAGAAAAAGCATTCCCCTTCTTTCCTGCAATGTATCTGATTTTCTTGTTTTCCCAATAAAAACTTTACTTCCATTTTTTTTTCTAAATGGCAAAAGAAAAATATGTAATATGGGGCATTCAGTAGTTTGTGGCTCCATCTCTGATACTGAATATGATCATAATGAGTTTAATGTAAAATTAAGGCACTTTTCTCTGCTAAATTAAACGAATTCTGTTGGATGTTTAGACTTAGAAAAGAGAGAAACCCAGATAGCTGAATGAGTTCTTCTGTAATTTTAGCGGCTTACGCCAACTGGATCCCCCCAAAAAGAGGATTTTCCTTTCCTTGTCCTGCCCAATGATTCCAATGGGAAGGAAAAGGATGGTACAAGCTCCAGGCTGCCATGAATCCTACCCACTTTAGAGGCATGTTGCAGTGGAAAACAGGGTCTCTACTAACACGCCCCCCCACCCCCACCCCAATCTTCACAGTACCAACTGCAGAAAGTTTGCAGCTTTAGGGAAGGTCCTTGTAAGGCTGGATTTCTCTCTCCAAGGACAAACCTTTCTTTCTCTCCTTAGGGAAGGAAAGCTAAGAAATCCTATAGGTTGGGTAACGGCTTATTTTATTACTATAAGGATTACAGCTTTAGAGTAGTAAAGAAAGTTACATTTGATAAGGAAGTACTGCATTTTTCTTGAGTTAAAAGATAGGAGGGGAGCCTATATGTTCCTGAGCGTAATGATTGGGTGTTATTATTCAAGACTCACTCCTTGTTTACACCAGTATCTCCAGTATTTAAAAGGTTAGGATTCAGTTGTACATATTCTATATGCTGTTTCACAGTTGCTTGTTAACAGAGTTTCTTTGAAGTTTACTTATCAGGAATCTGGTAGTTGCCCCGAACCTCGATCCTAGAATATCCACCAACAGTCCATCACCAACTCTTCCAAAGCTTCCTTACATTAGCTCCTCCTTGCACCTTGATTATAAGCCAGACAATTTGGGAAGATCTTTCTTCAACAGTGTTGGACCAAAGCTCCCCACTACAGAAGACAAGGGAGTCAGAAGGCGAGTCCATTGAAAACAAGTCTTTTGTACAACAACAAGCACCCTCAGGTCCACAGGAACCTTACATCTGTCCAGTGGCACACGCATTTGTAACCTGGGTTTGTTCGGTGCTCCCAGCAGACTGGATGGAACCTGGAAGAGGCAGGGCAGGTTTCACCTCTGACCCACACGTTGTCTGTTGGCTTCCACGTTCAAGGCAAAGTTATGGAGGAAGAGAAGGATCTGCCACCAGACCTGATTTCGGTTCTGCTGGTGCTGTTAAAAAAAAAAAAGGGGGGGGGAAGGGGGTCTCAACAAGATTACTCACGTAAAATGTTAAAGCCACCATTCAAAAGCTTAATCTGTCCCAATAAAAACTAAGCTATATTTTTTAAGAACAGGCACTTTTTAACCCAGCAATATTACACATATAAAGGGAAAAAACCGCATTGGCCCCAGGGTATGTGTGTGTGAGACTAGTAGTAGTTTCTCCACGAATAATTGTTGCTCCAATATTATGAAAGAAAGAAGTAGACCCTTTATGTATTGTGCACAAAAGGATTAACCCCTCCCTTTTTTTCCTTTTTTTTTTTTGCAGGATTCTGCAGAGTTTAGCCAAGTGCTGTTTTTAATCAGATTGGCTTCTGAGTGTCTCATAGCCCAGCTGCAAGAACAAACAACTTCTCCCCCCCCCTTTTTTTTCCTAAAGGAGAGTGCCCCCCTCTTCCAGCAAACACAGGAGAGGGGAGGGAAAGGAGAGGGGAGAAGAGAAGTGTAGCTGGTGATCCATCTGTAAGTGATTTGACACTGTGAAGGTCAAAGGGTTAATCTTCAATTTAAACCACACTGCTGAGACAGCAAAACTGATTTTATCCAGTACAAGAAAACACACTCCTATACACACACACACACACACACACACACGCTCCCCCCACCACACTTTGCTTCCCAACATCTCCAAGATAATACTGCCCTTTTTTTTAATAGCTCCTTTTGACAGTAAGCCATAAATAATCAGTCTTGGAGCCCTTTCTTACTGACTGGAGCCAATTAAACCTTAAGCAAGAACACACTTGAAAACAAAACCCAACCAAAAAAAAAAACAACAACACTAGGGGTTATTTCAGGTCCCCATTATCAAGCAACACATTTTAAAGCTTGACTGGGGGTGGGGAGGCTTCAAATTCTTAACTTTGCTACCTTGAGATAGGGCTAGCGAGAGCTTAGCTTTCATCAAGTGTCACAACCCAAGCTTTGTACGATGCAGGCCTTTTGTCGAAAGACAGAGGCATCATTGATATGACGAGCTAGATCTAGAGATCCAGCAAGCAGAGTCCCATGCACATTATGTCAAAGAGGCCATTTTCTCCCACCTTCCCTTTAATGACCCCCTCTACCCCACCCCCCAAAAAAATTGCTCCAGAAAATTGGCAGCCCTCCAGCAGAGCGTGGAAAGTGGCTCAGAAGAGCTGCTGGAGAGAGGAGAATCAAGGAATTGGTGTTTGATGTTTGCCACTTTGCCTTCATACATCAGCAAGAGTCCTGCTAGATTAGAAGTCTCCTCCACGAATGGATCTACTTGTGGAAGAAGAATTGAAGCCATGAACATTGTTTTGTAAGATTACACTTTTTAGAAGTAGGGTACAGGCCTTGCGTTTTGGAATGCTGCAGGGATTTAGAGAAATTATCCTTTATAATAATCTCTGGCAATTCCAGAATTGTTTTGTCTGCATGAGCCACGGAGTCTACCTCAACCAGAAGCCAGACCTCAGTCTTTTTTCATCCCATAGTGCCATCTTTCTTAATAATCTAATAGCAACTGATACCATCAACATAACCTTCACAGCTCACAAACCATAGAAAACTAAAAATCAATACAGGTATTCCTCATTTTAGTGACCATAATTGGGACCAGATGTTCTGTTATCAAACTAAGTTACTTTGCACTTGAGTCAGAAGTACCAAGGTGCTTCCAGATTGAAAGGATTAGCCAGTGACATCACTGATGTCCTGGGGACATCCAGTTGGGGGTTCCTTTCATGTCCTTGGCAAGAGCTGGAATGAAGGACAAGAGCTCAACTTCTCCTCACTGCAGCTCTCAGGTCTCAAACACAGGATTGCTAATCTCCTGCCCAGGGTTCCAACCACTTGAGCCACCGTGCTCCAGCTAAGTGGCTGCTAAGTGGGAAACCACATGATAGTGCTTTTCTTTTCCCCACTTCCCCCCCCCTCCACTTTGGGATGCTCACTCCAGTGCTAGGTGCTGGGATAATTAGCAAGAAGGGAATTAATGTTTGTATTTAAATTCATTGGAGAAAAAGGGGTTACAAGAGAGTAAGAAAGCATGCAATGAGGAAAATTCATTGGGAGCAATGTGTTGGCACCCATAGTCCAAGCTTGTTACTCACACAGCCTGGTGTATTCCTCACTGTACGCCTGCTTATTCTCTTTAATCTCTTCCTCTCCAATCTCAGCAAGGCAGCTGAGGAGAATAAAACAACAGGTCAACAGTACATAAAGTATGGACTATGATAATGATCATGTGACTGAGCAACGCTGCTAAGCTTGCCAATGAGTTGTTAAATTATTTTTTCAGTATTGTCATTAACTTCAAATGGTTGTTTAACAAAGCAGTAAGAGAAGTCTACCTGTACGGAAAATTCCCAGCACCCCCAACTTCCGTACATCTCTACAAATCCACAAACAAACAAATCTTTCTGGGCTCCAGACTTATACTTGTGAGAAAACCAGGCTGTCCCAGCTTTTGGAAGGCTAGGAGCCTGCCAGACCTCAGTGGGGTATTTAAAGGACAGAGACAGCTACTTAGAAAGCATATTGCCTAGGTACCATTAGATCAGGAGTCTCCAACGTTGGCAACTTTAAGACTTGTGGACTTCAATTCCCAGAGTTCTGGAAGTTAAAGTCCACAAGTCTTAAAGTTGCCAATGTTGGAGACCCCTGCACTAGATGGCAACATTTGAGGGAAGGGATCTGAGGACAACCACCCTATCACACCTAGTGGAATGGGCGGATACTGTCAAGGAGAGGTGATCTCGCAGATAATCTGGCCCTGGGGCATTTAGGTCTTTAAAGATGGTAACCAGCACCTTGAATACCGTATTTCTCCAAAAATAAGACGCTGTCTTATATCTTTTTGAACCCCAAAATAAGCTTGGCCTTATTTTCAGGGATGTCTTATTATTTTGGGGTGCGTGGAGCAGGACGGGGCTCCTCTTGCCATCTTACCTGATTTCTAGCTCTGTCCCCCTAACCCTAACCAGAGGAAATGCGGGGACCAGCTGCACATGCGTTTAAATATTTTCAGGGAGGGCTTATTTTCGGGGGGGGGGCTTATTTTAGTGCATGCGCTCAAAAGCCCGATTGATCTTATTATCAGGGGATGTCTTATTTAAGAGGAAACAGGGTATGTGGGCCACCACATTCTGCCTTAGTTGTAATTTGTGTGGTCTTTTAAGAGCAGCCCTGGGAAGAGTGTGTTGCAGTAATGTAGCCAGGAGGGGACTTGTGAGCAAGGCCTCCTGTTCAGGAATGGGCGCAATTGGTGCACAAGATGAAGCTGTGCAAAGACTCTCTGGGCCATAGCTTCCAGGTGCTCCTTGAGCAGGATCCCAAGTCCAGGAACATATCCAAATTGTGCACCAGCAAGAGTCAAAGATGATACTTCAGCGGAACCAAGAGGATCAAAAAACCAGAACCACTCTGCCTTTCTAGGTTGAGTTTTTTTTTTTTTAATTTGATTTATATGCCGCCCTTCTCCGGAGACTCAGGGTGGCTTACAATGTGCTAAGCAATAGCCTTCATCCTTTTGTATATTTATACAAAGTCAGCTTATTGCCCCCACAAACTGGGTCCTCATTTTACCTACCTTAGAAAGGATGGAAGGCTGAGTCAACCTTGAGCCTGGCAAGATTCGAACCTACAGTAATTGCAGGCAGTTGGTCTTAATAACAGGGTGCTTTAGACCACTGTACTACCAAGCCAATTCATCCTCATCCAAATGCTTATAGCCCCCAGGTGCTGATAGCTTCAGTTGGCCAGCATCACCTGGCCAGCTTGGGGTACAGAGGTGGTATTCAGCAGGTTCTGACCAGTTCTGGAGAACCGGTAGCGGAAATTTTGAGTACTTCAGAGAACCGATAAATACCACCTCTGCCTGGCCTCACCCCATCTATTCTCTGCCTCCCGAGTCCCAGCTGATCAGGAGGAAATGGGGATTTTGCAGTAAACTTTCCCTGGAGTGGGGAAGGAATGGAAATTTTACAGTATCCTTCCCCTGCTACGCCCACCAAGCCACGCCATGCCCACCAAGCCACGCCCACAGAACCGGTAGTAAAAAATTTTGAATCCCACCACTGTTGGGGTAGAAATGTACAACACATATCATCAGCATACTGATGATCGTTCAACCATCTGCAAGGATATTGACCAATTATTTTTATTTAAGGTGTTCAGAATGAATGGTAATTCTGTATGAAACACCTACTAGGCTGTTTTAAAAATATTTTATTTATTGATTTAATTCATACACTACCCATCTCACTCTGAAAAGCGACTCTATTTATAGAAATCTAAAATACTTTAATTCCATCACTTTAATGCCATCTGGTGTGATAAATTACATATTTCAAAAATATGAGTTTGTATCCTCTGAGTGGATATCACAAATTTATTTGGCTCATTTGTTGTTTTTCACAAATCATGCTATTTTTACCTGGAAACTGGTAGCCAAGTTTCTAAAGGACACTAGAATCAGTGTTCATCCTATAGTGCTTATTGCAATGGCACAAAATGAAACTCTCAGTGACAAAGCAGGAAATCAAGAGCACTCCATCAACAGAATGCAAATAAGTATGCTATATGACACAAATGTAACACTCACAGCTGCATAATTTGAAAAGTAGTTTTGCCTGCCTGTCTGTTCTGCCCCAGCTCCGGATTCCCAAGGATTGTGACACACACCAACGGTCCTTATCAAAGTTATAACGTACCAAGAATAAACAAAGTCCGGCAAAGGTTGGCAACCAGCCCAGAAAACAAGATACGATAAGACACTCACTCTCCAAAATGCTCTGTAATAATTACACGTTGTTTCCAGCAAGAAATTACTAACTGCGTGCGACTTAAATAGGCTAAGGGAGTGGCCAATTATCCTCAAACCTTACTCTCGAGGAGACCTCCTCCTCCTGAGTAGCCACTCCTGCCTTTTGGCAGCCCTGCGTGCTCGAGCATTGAGGAGAGGCTCCTCCACTTCGCTC